CTACACCTTTCTGTACCTTTTTTACTGTCTATTTTGTAATCCCTTTCTTTTATACTTTCTTCTGGTTATCTTTTTTTTCTCTTTCTCTAAAAACCCCTTTCTTTTGTCTTTCATTGAACCCCTTTCTTTTTTTCTCTCACTTTCAACCAACGTCTTGCGGGAAACACTCACTTTAGTCTCTTCTCAGCATAAATTATCACCGATATAAGTATCTGTGTATTGTTTTTTTTGATTGTTTTTTTGTTACATCATCATTACCCTTAATTAATATTCATTATTAATTAGACTATTGACATTATTGTTCATTAATTGTGCTATTTTATTGCTGTTATTTGTTGTTTACTGGAAATATTTAAATTAATAGTTATTAACCGAAAATCTGTATCGTTTGGTAGCGCCTTTTGTTTCTCATTGTGTTAAGCTTTTTTGTCTGTTGGCTTTCACCAGTGTGTACTGTTGTTTAATCAAAAAAGCCATCAACTTGTGTCAAACAGTTAAATAATCAACCTTCAATATACATGCTAACCATTATTAGTGACAAATTAATTACCTTACCGGGGTTACAAAAATGTGGATCACAACACCCTCAACCTTTTTAACATTTCATAGTCCCATAATCCGCAATAAAACTATTGAAGAGGTAAGTTACATGTGACCATACTATACAGTAGAGTACTTCATAACTTGGTAGAATTTAGTGTTGGCGCCACCTTTTGAGAGCGAAAATAAATTTTTAATATTGATTAGAAAGCATTTAATTTAGTAATTAATTTAATTGAAACCGGCATTTTTGAAACAATTTACAATGGTTTGAGTCTTCGTTTCTTCCCAAACTTCTCTAAGCAAACGCATAGCGTCAACAATTGTAATTGAATTCATACAATAATTAAAGGATAGGTCATTTTCAACAAGAGGAACAATGATTGACATTAATTTAGATTTATAACTTTTTTTGACAACATTTATAATGCCACAATCAAGAGGTTGTAATTTTGAAGTTGTTTTAGGCGGAAAAATTTGATTTTAATACAGTTTAAATTAGCGGTAATTTTATGGCTCGGGCAGTTGTCAATAAAAAGAATAATTTTTTTATTTTGAGTAAGTAATTCAGAGTCCCATTCAATCAGCCAATCATTAAAAATTTCACTTGTTACCCAAGCTTTTTGATTAGAATAGTAATGAATATTATTATCATTGGGATTGAAATTTTGTTGAGCAAATGGGCGTGGTTTTGCTGATTTCCCTACAATTAATAAATTTCTCTTGATTCCTGATTTACTTACACAAAATAAAGCAGTTAATCTTTCCTTACTTTGACTAACTCCATGAGCTTCATCATTTTTTTGCAAAAATGAACGTTTTGGTTGCGATTTCCAAAAAAAAGATGACTCATCAGCATTGAAAATATCATCATCACAATAGTCTTCCAATTTGTCAGATAAATTATTTTTCCATTGATCAACTGTTGTTGGATCTACACTTTTACTTTCACCACACAAAAGTCGATATTTGTATTCATTTTCCTTAATGAATCGACGTAGCCCAACAATTTGAGGCTTTGAAATTTTTCATTCCGATGGATTCACCAATTTTTATAGCTTTAGATTGAATTAATGGTCCAGATAGAGGAACTCCTGAATCTATCATTTTCTACAAAAAATGATCACTTCATTATCCAATTGTTTGTTGATTTTTTTGTTCAATCTCTTTCTCTTGTCATTTTCACCTTTAAAGTTTGTTAAAATTTCGTCTTTCTGGCGACTCAGGAAACTAACATATTGTTGACTTATTCCGAAGTTTTGAGCAATAATTTCCTGTGGAACAAGGTCTAATAAATTCACTAATTCAACTTTTTCAGCTAGACTCAAAGCCATTTTCACCAAAAACAATTAACAAATTATCTGAAAAATTCTACGAAAAAAGTGCTTTTTTCCCTCAATAGGGGACGCCATACCGAAATTCTACCAAGTTATGGAGTACTCTACTGTACTAAATTGTTTCACTAATCGAATGTTTATTTCTTTTTCTTTTTCTTGTGCTGTTTTATTGTTTTGACACGCATTCTAATCTACCGTTTGGCCCCTTAATTATGGGATATAAACACCGTCACTATTGGAAAAACAAATAATCATCAACGCCAACAATATAAAAATCCAATCAACGTCTCTATGCAAACCATTGACAACCTAAATGGACAACATTGATGAAAATTATCTGACACTGTGGACATTACGGTTTTGGCATAATGTCTAATTCAATGTTGAAAATTAACACTCAAAGTGCCTTGCTGTTCGAGACTATTTAACCCACGAAGCGAGATGCGACTTTGTTCAAAATAATCATGATTGTAATACAACATTGTCATTAATTGATTACAATCAATTCCTATTTTGTGGCTTTGAACCTGAAAAGATTGCCTATGGAGTTATTATTTGTGTAAGATGATTTTTCTTGAAATTGACAGTTTACTAAAGTTAATCATTGTTGAAATTTTGCTGATAGCTAATTAATTATATCGGAAACACTCATGAATCAAGTTTGCTGTTATCAAATGGATTAAGTGACAATCAACAACTACTGGATTTATTACTTAACTTTTTACTTTTCTGTTTTCTTTAGATTACATGGGCTCTTATACTATTTTTGGCCTTAGCTGTAACTGCCACTGATTTGTAAGTTATATTATTTGTTTACCGCTGATTATCCCTTTTTTAATCTGTATTTTTCCTGAAGTCAAAGTAATTAACTAAGAAGAGCAAAAATAGCATCAGAAATAAAAAAACTAACCTGCAATATAATATTTTAATAAGTAATCATTATCAGTTTCAGGTAGACTTGGAAAATTCTCAAGGTTTTCCTTATCAGATTAATTAACTATCTCTCATCATTTATTACCAATTAGTCCTAATAATAAAAATTAAAAGCACAAGTTAAAAAAAATGACTGCCTCACATACAATTATAAAACATCCTGTTAGGTCTAACAATTTATTAACCTAAAAAATCAACACCCTAACACTTAATTATTATAATTGTTAACAATCTTAAGATGAGGGCTAATAAAAAAATCAAAGCAATGCAGAA